AGCAGCAGTTAATTTTATTTAAAGAAATGGCGTGTCGTCCATTTCCGTTGTAACATGGCATATATTTAGGCGCAATATTTAACTTCTTCTGTCGGGGCGACATCTGGAGTCTGCTAATTCTTAAAACGAGGTTCATATCTAGACTAGGTTGATATCTAGAATTTGCCACAAATAGCTTTGCTACACTACCGCCGCGGCGCGCCGGCAGCTTTAACAATTTTATAGTGGTTTTACGTTCTTTGGCAAATTATTCTCTGTTAGCCATAAATATTACTATTTTTTGACCGCCTTTGAATCAAGACCCCTGGACCATACGGGGAATTCATTTATATTTTAAATTGCATTGTCATCGTGATTGGAACTATGCTGAAAATTTCAAGTCTCTAACTTGTCGGGAAGTTAGTTTAAAATCGATTGGAAATTTCCGCGATTTCCGCGGGATGACCAAGTTAAATAAAAGCTTATAAAAATGAATCTGATCGCCTTTGCGTTGATAACCGTGAGTTAAATGCGAATACAATATCTGATAGATATCAGACCAAATAGCTAGACTACGTGGAGCCAATTACTTTTCTTGTTTAGATATGGCATGTGGATTCCACAAAATTCCTATTCATACTAATAGTATTGAGCTTACAGCGTTTGTAACTCCCGAAGGCCAGTATGAGTTTTTGACCATTCCCTTTGGCTTTAAAAATGCGCCATCGGTTTTTCAGCGAGCAGTAATGAAGGCATGGGGGATCTTGCCTATTCCTGGATAGTTGGTTGGGTATGGCACTGCGACCAATAGGTCTATTGTGCCTATTCCTATGTCATTGTGTACATATATGGATGATATCATGATTCTTGCTTCAACGAAAGAGCAAGTGTTTGAAAGATTAAACATTGTTTTAGATACTTTAACAAAAGCCGGGTTTTCTTCTAATTTTACTAAATGTGCTTTACTCAACACTAGATGAATATCTCGGGTATGAGATAAAATCTGGAGAAGTCCGACCAAATCCACGTAAAGTTCACCAATGTGCACCAATTGAGGCAGTTCATAGGCTTGGCTTCTTAGTTTCGACAATTTGTAGCTAAATTTTCGCAAATGAATAAACCACTTTATTTTCTTATCTCCAACAAAAATAACTTTAATTGGAAATCAGAACATGAGCAGATACGTCAGAAAATAATTTATATTTTAACAAGTAAGCCAGTTTTAATAATTTTTGATCCGCAGTTCCCCATTGAATTACATACTGATGCTAGCGCAGATGGTTATGGCGCCATATTAATGCATAAAATTAACAACAAACCACATGTCATTGAGTACCTATTTTAGCAAAAGAACTTCTCCAGCAGAATCTAGATATCATTTATACGAATTGGTGACATTAGTTGTAGTTAATTATATTAAACATTTTCAACACTATCTGCAAGGTCGCCAGTTCGTGGTATTCACAGATTGTAATTCTTTTAAAGCTTCTCGTACCAAAATGGATTTAATACCAAGAGCTCATCGCTGCTGGGGCATATTTGCAATCTTTTGATTTTGTTGTAGAGTATAGAGAAGGCAAGCGTATGGCATAAGCGGACTTCTTCTCCAGGAATGTGTTGCCAGAGAATAATCAGCAAGTCGAGAAAGTTTTGGAAAAACGTGTGGATCTCCGATATTTCAGATAACTGGCTTCTCGCTGAGCAACAAAAAGATCCGGAGGTAGTTGCAATTGTTAAAAATTTGATTAATAATGAATTCGAACGACATGAGGTAAATACGTATGAATTGCGCGCTGGTATATTATGCCGGA